CATTTATTTATATATTCAATTTTTAATTTCTATCAATATGGGCTCGTAAATATTTCTTTTATTCTACGGGTTATAACCCATCACCACTGAGTCTTTCAGGAACTTTTTTTTTTTCCTTTTGAGACAGACTCTTGCTCCATTGTCCAGGCTGGAGTGCAATGGTGCGATCTTGGCTCGCTGCAACCTCCTCCTCCCGGGTTCAAGCCATTCCCCTGCCTCCGCCTCCCAAGTAGCTGGGATTACAGGTGTGTGCCACCACGCCCAGCTAATTTTTGTATTTTTAGTAGAGGCGGGGTTCTGCCATTTTGACCAGCCTGGTCTGGAACTCCTAATCTCAAGTGATCCACCCATGTCAGCCTCCCAAGTGCTGGGATTACAGGCATGACCTGCCACACCTGGCCAAGGAACTTTTTTATCGAGGTATTCTAAACACACCAAGAACAACAATATAAGCAGGATAACCACCACTCCTGAAGCCACCAGTGCTCACTTAAGTCACTACACACCCAAGGGTAACCATTATCCTGACTTTTTTTTTTTTGAGACAGGATCTCACTCTGTCACCCAGGCTCAAGCAGTCTTCCTGCCTCAGCCTCCCAAGTAGCTGGGACTACGGGTGTGCACCATCATGCCCAGCTAATTTTTATATTTTTTCTTTTATAGAGATGGGGGTCTCACTATGTTTCCTAGGCTGGTCTTGAACTCCTGCCTTCAAGCAATCCATCCACTTCAGCTTCCCAAATCACTGGGATTTCAGGCGTGAGCCACAGTGCCTGGCCTAGTTTTGCCCTTTTTATCCTTTCTATGTGTATACTTGGAATCATATAGTATGTATCCTTTATGTCTGGCTTCTTTTTGCTCAGTTATGTTGATGAGATTCATCCATGTTTTAGGTGGAGATATAGATCTTGCGCATTGCTATATGGCATTCTATTGTGTGAATACATAATTAACCCTTTTGATGGACATTTGCATAGTTTCCAGTTTTTTGGCTATGATGCTGCTAATAGTGCTGCTGTGAACATTCTACTATGCAGTTCTGTGGGGCACATTCCTAGGAGCAGAATTGCATAGTCATGGGATATGCACATCTTCAGATTTGATAGGTACTACCAAACAGTGAACCAAAGTGCTCATACGAATTTACCCTCCTGTTAGCAAGATTAGGACAGTGTTTTGTGTTTTGTTTTGTTTTGTTTTTGAGACAGTCTCACTCCCAGGCTGGAGTACAGTGGTGCAATTTCAGCTCACTGCAACCTCCACCCTTGGGGTTCAAGTGATTCTCCTGCCTCAGACTCCTGAGTAGCTGGGATTACAGGTGCATGCCACCACACCTGGCTAATTTTTGTATTTTTAGTAGAGATGGGGTTTTGCCATGTTGGCCAAGCAGGTCTCAAACACCTGACCTCAGGCAGTCCACCCGCTTCTGCCTTCCAAAGTGCTGGGATTACAGGCATGAGCCACCATACCTGGCCAAGATTATGACAGTTCATTGCTGTTCCACATCCTCACCAGCCCTTGGCATTTTATATTGATTTCATTTTAGCCATTCTGGTGGGGGATAGTAATAGTAATTCCCTGTATATTTTATTTGCATTTCTCTAATGCTGTTGAGATTGAACACCTTTTCATACTTTTTTTTGTTTGTTGGTTTGTTTTATGAAACAGAGTCTCGCTCTGTCACCCAGACTGGAGTGCAGTGGCACGATCTTGGCTCACTGCAACCTCCGCCTCCCAGGCTCA